AATTGTATATCATGTACTTTAGCTCATGTGAACCACCTTTCAGATGTTGTTAATGACATTTCATTGCAGATCTCTTTAAAATTACCATGTAATTTTTTTCCATTTTAACGAATGATCTATAAGTAGAGTGGAGGACCCACATATGATGAGGATTTTTTAACTTAGAAGAATCACTTTGTGGAAAATTGGAAACTAAATTCCAATACTTATTTTCCGTGAAATGAAAGAGATGTAGTTTCTTAACTTCGTTAAATGGATGTTTCTAGAAGTGCTGTTACGAGTGACTAAGTAGGCTTGGTATAGAGTAATTTTTGCCAATCAGCTTAGCAAAAACCAGTTACACAAACTGGGCATAGACCAGCTTTACCTAACTGTTTAGAAATAGGAGCCATTTTTCTAGAAGTTGCAGATCGATCCATCATTTAGGTCTAAATCTGAACTGATGGTTCTTAGAATAGTGTCTATAATCATGTGATGTGTATAACCTGGCACTTTCCAGTTCCCCTTTTAAGTGCAAGTGTTTTGCAGTCACTTCCTGTTCTGTGCAGCAGTTTGTGACTTTCTGTAGTTAGGAAACAATATGACTATCCCTCATTATTGTGAAAGCTGGTTGAGCTTCAACGATGAAGCCAAAATGAGTAGTAGACGACTGATCTAGTATTAGCTATAATCATTATTCTAATCATAGATGAATCTGTTTTGGCGTTCTGGTGATTAGGGATGCTAGTTTTAACAGTATATCTTCTTTGTGAATTGCTATCATGAGTTATTAAATCTATCAGTCCATAACCTGCCCAAAATCTTCTGTCTTTGCTAAAACCATTGTTGTTACAGTAGCACCACCAGAGGCAGGACGCTATTGGAAATTGCTGATGTAAAGATGGCTTTAGAGTGATTTTCAACCTTATTTATTTATTTATTTGTAGAACTTAGATTTTACAGCCTCTGGGGAAGGTTGAGGGACCTTGTATAAAGAACTTAAGGTCACTAGCTGCAAGTTACTTTGTTGTTGTTGAACTTCTCAGGCGACTGTGGACATCTAAGACTCTGCAGGTAACAGTTTGAAGAGTGAAGTTGTGGCGTTCACATGGGCAGTTCTAATTAGTTTCTGTTTCCGACAGAAACAGGACAGGTATGACAGTCGTGAGAGGAAGCAGACTTGAAATGTGGCTTGGCCAAATTTTAGTATAAAAAATTGAAATTATGTAGCAACTGAGTAGCACTGTAATTCTGTTACTGAGCTCTCTCCAGATGCTCTCGAAGAGTAACTGGTGTCTGTAGTGATGGATTAGAAGGTCAGAATTCTGAAAGAGGAAATTTAACTATGGAAAACTTGTCCTTGCTTTTTCTTTTGTAGGCCAAAGAGAAAGGCAAGCTTCGATGTTTTCATCCTTGCTCTGTTGTGTGGCTGCTCACATAGCTGATTTGGATAAGTTTGGGGTGTTTTGTTACTTGTGACTGTCAGTTGATCGCAAGAACAAATGAAAACTGCTAATGTCAGTAACTTTTAAATAATCGTCTTTTTTCTTTTAAGTGAGTCAAATAGGAGGTCATAGCTTAGGATCTGTCATGATGTGGAGAGAGGGATGATTATGACATACTGGAACTCTGAAATGTTGGAGTTTAGGGAATAATTGAGATCATTAGCAGATGATGTCAGAAATCAGATGTTGTAGTGGAACGGTAGGCATCTTTCTTCTAACTCAGAGTGAGGTCTAAGTATTAACCTTAGGGACAGCTGTGCTGTGGAAGTTGCTGTCAGTCAGATATTTTTAATAACTTTCATCAGGTATTGTAACTATAGATCTAGTTACTCATTTCTCTCTTTGTTTGAGTTGCATTTAAAATTTTCTTCTGATTGTAAGATGTTAACCTTATATCCTACATGAGTTTAGAGAATTGCAGAGCAGAGCTACACAGCTGATGTGTCCTCTGCTGAAAGTGGTTGTAAATAACCTAATGATTACACAATTCCCCTAACATAGTGTTCCAGACACTCAGGATTCTTTGTCATGAAAACTGTCTTTGTAATTACATCTCATCTGACCATCATCAGTCTAAGTGTTTTGTATCAGAAATCTTGATTTTGAAAACTACTCCTTTACTATTTTGAAATCCAGTGCTGTGTAGGTCCCAGTTATAAAACACAGAATGTCTCTGTGCTTTTCTTTCTGCATTTGGATTAACTATATGTAAAGGATAGTTATCAGATATATCAAGAAAAACACCTTTTGGACTGTAGAAAAATCAAGTGTTAGGTTAGATTTTCTTTTGCAAAAGTTATGTTAGATGTCTTGAAAGTAGCAAGATTATTTTATTTCCTCTTCAGAGGCCCACCTGAAAGCAGTGACATGTGGTCAATGACCAACAAAACAGCTGTGGCCAGAATGCTTGGAGTTGCTAATTTCCTTCAGTTCTTAGTTGGTGGGGATTTTTGGTGTGGCTTTTTTGTTTAGTTTTGGCGGGTAGTTGGGTACCATACTTGTGCCATTTATGTGCATCATCTTTCTGCTGCAGTGGCTGGTAGGATGTTGAGAATACAACAAAGCTGGTGGTGGGTGCTGGTACCACAAGGAGAGTGCTGCTATGCTTGACCACAGATGAAACTGAGCAGAGAGAGTGATAGATTTTTCTTTCTGCTTGGGTGATTGAAAATAATAGAAGCATAAGGGGGAAAAGGACAATTCCCATGGTTTTTTGAAAAATACTTGTCCTTGATAAAAATAAAATAATAAAATTCTAACATGGTTTTCTTCTTCTTGGTCCCTAATTAAAATGTAGCATCTATGCATGAAGAGAATAAAACCATCTATTTTGTGCTGTCACACAGCTCAAGTAATAACCAGCAGATGGAAACTCTGAGTAGTCCGCTGTAAATGTAACATAGCTCATATTTTGAGCAGCTCATGTGACGTTTGAAAGGAACTACAAGGATTGCCTTTTAACTCTACCACGGTTTCTGGTTTTGATTAGACATCTTCATAGTTCTTCCACTTTGACAAGATATTCCACCAGCTAGTTCAGTGTGATATTTTTTTTTATTAAGTTATTAATGTTTGTCAATAAAATGCCATAGTGGCATTTCAGATGTGGCTGTGATGTGATTTTTAGTGCATCTATATATTTTGATAAGGAAGCAGCAAATGGATTATTTTTATTGTAAGTGTGTGGTGTGTCTGTCCCTTGAGCGTTGCATTCCTTCTTGGCAAATCACTTTGTTTCAAAAAGGATACTGGAAATGGGGAAGGAAGTTTCAGGGAAGGGCCACAGACATGGTCAGTCGTTTCCATGCAAGGAATCATGAAACAGTCTATCTACAACTATCTATCTCTGAAAAGACAGCTTGAAGGAAGATGTGACTGGTTTGTGGAAATGATGGTCAGGGGAGAGAGGCAGAAATGGACCAGGGATGGGATAAAGTTCAGCTGTTTTTTCCTGGAACTAGGTAGTACGAGTGAGGCTAGTACAGGGCAGATTCAAAACAGAGAAATGGAGGTGGTTCTTCCCACTGTGTAATTAACTGGGGAACTCTTTGCCACAGGATATTATGGATTCTAAAAGCTGACCTGGGTTCAGAGGCAGGCTGGACAAGTTCATAAAGAGGCAATGTGCTGCATTTCTTAAGTAGACAGAAGCCATCCTTGGTTTAGGAAGTTTCTCAGGAGCTAATGGTTGGATGCTGGGATAATACTTGAGAGAAGCATCATGCTGTGGTTGTCCTGTTCTTACCCTTACCAAAGTTTGCTTTCATCTCCCAGCTTTTCTTTGCATAGATGTGGGCAAGGTCATTCGTAAGAGGGAGGATGGGAAGTCATCTTCCTTGCAGAAAGTATAAGAGAACTGAGACTTTATGAGAAAGAAATGGAAACTTCATAGAATAGATTGCAAACACTTTACATAAGTTGGAGCACTATGTTTACAATGTAATTGCTGATATCCTGCTGCCATTTGGGATTTAGAAGGAATTCCTAGCTTGATACACTACTGCAGGTGATGACTGTTAAAATTAGGAAATGAGTACCAAGTTGAAACTGGAAATTTATGTTTTTAAGGTTGGTTAAATGATACAGATGGGTTTGTGCACACTGAGAAACCTGAAGCTGTAAATCAGAACTGATAATGTTAAAACCTTATTTCAAGACATAGCTTGCCTTTCATATTGCAGACTAAACACAGATTTTTTTAAAGATCTGGCAAATGAGAAAGGGAAACTTGCAATTAGAAATCAAAACCAATTGACTCTGCAAGACTGGTCCATGGCACATGTCACTGTTAATGTCCTTTCAGTCATAAAACAATGACAAATACAGTATTATGAATTCTTCTACAGACTAGTTGATCTTTCTAATCTATTTCAAATTTTAACTTGAATAATTTCTTTTGCATCATGTCTTATGAGTGATGCTGGGTTCTTGTGACTTAATTACAAAACATGGAGTGACTTATGGTAGGCAATATGGAATAAAGAGTGATGGTGAAAATTGTGCAAGATAATTCTATAAACCAGGGATGTCTTTACTTTCACTGGAGAGACACTGAGATCTTCAAGTTGAAAAATAGCACTATGAACAGTGCTGAATTAATAGAGGGATATATGTTTACTGGGGCCTTGTGACACCTCAGGCAACCCACATCTATATTTTTTTTTAAAAGGTCAGAATGACAAGTCTTCAATTTATGTTCTGATGAGAGGCATTGAGAGTGTGTTAAGATTTAAATTTGTGCTTTAATTACCAAGAAGTCATTTGAGGCTTAGAAAATGAAATTTGGTTAACTGTTATGAGTATGCAGTTGGAAGAAGCAATGTTGCAATACTACATACTACATATACTCAAATTTTTAGGTAGCTTATTTTTTTTTTTACTCAAATTTAGTTATTTCAACTTCTGTTTGGACTATGGGACACTAATCTGAGTGAGCTTTGTCTAGAGAAATGACCAAATGAGAGACAGTGCAGTAGAAATAATAATGGCCTCTATAGGGAGGCTATGTGGTTTAGTAGTGTATGACTTTTTTATCCCTATGCTGAACTTCTAGAAGGTCACTGATATAACGGGGTAGCTCAGTAAGGTGTCATTTCATCAAATACCATGTTAAGCCAAAAACACTTAAATAATTTCAGTATGACTCTAAATTAAACCTAAACTTTGCAGTGCATTGAACTTGATTGAATTCTAATAAACAGACTTCATTTTCTTCAGAAATTGAATGACTTCTTTTTAATCTTTTCCAGGTCAAAGATCGGGGTCCAGAAGCCACAAGAAGATTTTTTAATTGGTTTTATTGGAGCATTAATTTGGGAGCTATTCTCTCCCTGGGAGGCATTGCATACATTCAACAGAATGTGAGCTTTGTTATTGGATATAGTATCCCAACAGTTTGCATTGGGATTTCGTTCATGGTTTTCTTATGTGGTCAGAGTTTCTTCATCACAAAACCGCCTGATGGTAGTGCCTTCACAGACATGTTTAAAATTCTTGCATATTCTTGTTGCTCAAGAAAGAGACATGTGGAACGTTCAGCTAATAGGTTTGTAATAAGCTCTTTTGTATAGTCTGAATTCAGTGAATCAGCCTAAGAGATGGAATGAGTTAGTCCAAACTAAGTGTCAGTAAGTTACACTAGAGACTACACTAGAATATGCAGTTTTGCTTTGAGAACTGGAATGGGAAAATTGGAGTTCTGGAGATACTTTCTGGGAGTTCTGGGATGAAAGAGAAGCACATTTTGAGATCACTGGATCTCCATGTGGCAAGATTAAGTCTGCTCTTTCCAATTGAATGCTACATCTTGCCGGGTCAGAGTTTCTGAAAGTGTAATGTGGCATAAGTATGCTGCTTTTAAGCACAAGTTAACTTTCTTCTCAGTTTAGATGTGTTTATGGGATGCCTTCTGATTTGAAAAACACTGTCATCTGCATTTAATGTTGTAAGTGGCTTGATGGGCAGCCAAAATGTGTAGTGGTATTTTGCTTTCCAAATGGTTACTCCACTCTTAAGAGATGCCCATGGAATACTGGTGTCTGAACTTAGTCACTGATGATGAGAGATGTCAGGTGCCTCCTCTGCAATGGGCTTTCATATATTCAGATTGTAAAACAATTCAATGAATTAGAATAACCTGTATTTTGTGATACTGTTTCTTAAGTTCTGCATATTGCCAGTTATTTATGCATGGTGGTGGGAGGGGAGGATGGGAAATACGGAAACCTTTATAATGGAAGTTACCAGCTTGTGCTTTCACTTGCTGATGATCCATTCTGGCCTAGTTGTTTTGCTGTAACTTACACGAGTAGTTTATTTTGGAAATGCTTGAGCTTTTTATAATGAAATGTCACAAGATTGCCAGTTATGTCAGTTTTTGTTGTTGTTTAACTAAAAGTTTCAAATTCTTGTCAAAAGTGAAGGCCAGGGAGTACTTCATCAAACTCGCAAGCAAAGCCTGTTTGAGATGGCCAAGCTGTCCCATGGGGGCCCATTCAGAGAAGATAAAGTGGAAGATGTGAAAGCTCTCGTCAAGATTATCCCTGTCTTTTTGGCTTTAATACCTTATTGGACAGTGTATTTTCAAGTGAGTAGTTCCAAAAGGTTACATTTTGATTTTACACATCTAAAAAACATAATTTCTAATTTAAGGGCCATAACTTCATCTTCTCCCAGTTGCATTTGAAAGGTCTCAAGGCACTAACATTAAGTTGGAGTTCTGAGCCTGTGTTATACATCTAACTCCTGTCTGAAAATTACCCCCCAGAGCAGTTACCCACAGGAAACACACAAAAGCTTTGGGAGAAAACTGTTCTATAAGGTTTACTTACAGTTAGTGTTCAGCAGCTGTGTTCCTAAAGAAGATGAATATTGAAGAGGATTTTTTGGAACTCTTGTATCGACAGTTTGACTTCTTTAATACCTGTGTATTCAATCATGTTAACTGCTTGTCTTTCACACACCTGACGTTACATCTCAGGAATCATTTTAATAATAGCATGTTAGCAAAAATAATACTGTGTGATGGTAGCTTCTTCTGAATTTTTTTATTTGCTAGATAAAATTGTTGTGGAAAGCTGTGTTAGCTTACCAGTATGCCAAAGTATCTAACTTCACATTTTTCTAGGGGCTTTTTCATGAATATGAAAATTACCCTGAAGTTCAGAGATGAAAAATGGCTGCTAACAATACTTTCAAATAATATTCTGACTTAATAATAAAAAAAGAAAATAAAATCATTAAAATTATAGTTAAAACTAACATTTGTATATTGTGCACTGTTTAATCTTGCAGTTGATTCAGATAGGTCAGGGTAAGTGGTCTAGATTTCATTTTAATTAATTCCTTCCTTGTTCTTCTCTCTTAGATGAATTAGGATAGCAAATATGTTTTTGGGGAAAAAAAATGCAGGAATTGTTTTTAAAGTCACATGAATTATTCTTTGTGCTTTAAATACAATTAAATGTTGGAGTTTAAAAAAGCTTGCCATGTTCTAACAATATTTTTTATTGTTTTGCTATATTAGCACTTTACCTCTGGTATAATCTTTGTTAATTATTAAAAAAATATAAAAATATATTGCTCTCAGTATTCCTTGTCTAAGTAATCTCAACTCATCTTTTCTAATGGTAGATGCAGACAACGTATGTATTGCAAAGTCTCCATCTGAAAATTCCTGAAATATCAAATGACACCAACTCTATTCATACGGTAAGTAAGGCAAAACAAGTGAAAAGTATGGTTTTTTTTAATTGAGGTGCAAAAATGCATTAATTGAATGAGAAAGGATGCACATATTACACCATATTCTCTGTTCATTTGACAAGTGTAATTTAATTTTAATTGAAATTTGTATTACATTAGTAAAACCTTGTTTCTACTGTTCTGGGGAATATTTCTGAAAGCCTATGTTCTAAGTTCTAAGCCTAATAATAGAAGATCTACAGAACCTGGCTATTAAATATATTTCATGGCTAAAGTAGAAAAAAAGTTTAATTCTGTCAGACTAGAGTGTATCACTGGAAGGAAAATAGTAGGGACTTTTAAATTGCATTAAATAACTTCCTGACTTGCATGTCATTACTATTGACTTTGAATGCTTTTAAAAATGTATCTTGGAGTGTATTCATTTAAATAATCTGCACAATTTTGTTTACTAGATTTAAGTAGCAAAATCAATCATTCCTCAGACAGATTTCTATGACTAAAAAAATCTTAACATCAGAAAAGCTCCCAAAGGACAGTGATATTTTCCATTAAACATATTTCAGAACGTATGCAGAAAAACTCAGATGTTGCAACAATGCTAATGGCCATCTCATCTTTTGAAAGGAATTAATGTAGTTTTAGTTAGACAGTTAACTTTTGGTTTAACAAAAATTAATTCAGAATAAGGACCTAAAATACGAGCCCTCTGAAACTTAGAAATCTTATAAAAAGTCTTTTGCAAAACATCTTTGCTGAGTTCTGAATTTTGTTTCCTTAGAGTACTCTCTTCATCTGCCCAGTAATTTTCTTGTTCATTTTCCTTGGAACTATGTGCAGTATTATATGCTTTTGTGAAAAGAACCTTTTTGCTCTGAATACCTGACGTTGCTTAGTCCCAGTGGAAAGCTCCTACGCCCCCACCTCAAAACAACACCAAAAAACCACCAAAAAAACAACCAACTGAAAAACACCCAACTCAGCACAGCTGGAGATGCATCTTGAAAGCAAGATATGCAATACTGTTGGAATTACTATGATGAGGAATCATTTGTGCTTCTGAGATAACAGAATAATGAACTGCCAAATTAAATGTAAATCTGAATAAGTGAGCATTTTCCTCAGCTTTTACACACTCTTCTTTTCACAGTGTCTATCAGTGCATCGCGGTTTATTTTGGATCACAGTGTTCCATCAAAAATATTTTTTCCTTTGTAAAATAATAATAAAAATCAACCCTTAAGTATGAAATTGTTAACTTAAGGCATTTATCCTTTCAGTTTCCAGCAGCCTGGTTGACCATGTTTGATGCAGTGCTTATTCTGATCCTAATACCCTTAAAAGATAAATTGGTGGACCCCATTTTAAAGAGGAATGGCTTGCTCCCATCCTCACTCAAGAGGATTGCAGTTGGAATGTTCTTTGTAATGTGTTCTGCATTTGCTGCAGGTAAGAAAACAACTGTAAGATCTATTTACATAGTTTATTCAGCTACTTGCAACAGCATTTTTTTAAAAAAAACCTTTGTGAATCTTTAATTAATTCAAGATGATTCAGAAGTCTTTCATGGGATAGTTAGAATGCAACTGCAGGGATGCATTTCCCACAATGAAAGAGATTTTATCCAAAAACTTACTAAACTGTTTTGAACTTTTGCAGTAAAATTGGATCATTTTTCCTGCCTGAAATTGACTTTCAGTATAACTTTGAAAACCCAACTTGTCAAGGTTTTCACATACAGTGTTACTTTCTAGTATGTTTTGTAGAGGAGAACTATTTGTTTTCTGACAATATTTTCTCAACAAATGCCTTCATGGTCAGTGTTTGGGTTGCCTGAACAAAGTGTCCAGTATTTGAATATGAGGCTGTTAGTCCTCCTAAAATAAACTTTATGGTATTGTGGAAGTCTGTGTTGTCTGATTTACTAATAATTTATCTTGAAGTTGAAAATTTATTTATCTTGAAAAACAAATTAGTTCAGAAATAAGTATGTTCCTTCATATAGTCTGACTTCTAAGTATTAAAAAAGTGAAATTTTATCTAAATTCCTTTCCCTTTATCCGAAATAATAAAGCTAGGTTATGGCTGAACAAGAGTTTCCTTCCATTTTGGGTTTTTTTCTCCCATACTTTAATATTCCCTAATGTTTGGGAATTACTGTAGTGTAAAATAGCTTAGCTATAGCATGAAAGGAAAAAGATGGCAACTCTGTTCGAACCATAAATCAGCTGCTTTTGAGATGATTTAAAGTTGTTAAGCACTGCTGATGTGGAACTGAACGTCTCTGAGTAATGCTTCATAGAACTGATAGCCTTCACCTAGTACCACTGTAATGAACATATTGATAAAGCATTATAGCATTAAATAAATTAATTTCAGCACTTGTAATCTCCTATATTTTATCAAGAGGGATGCTTTATATGGCTATTAAGATTTCTCTCAATGAGAGAGATAATTACCTTATTAGGCCAAGGTCACTTTGTATGTGGGCAAGTAAAGTTCTTAAAGCAAAGTCATTTAAACTTAAAATAGGAATGTTTCTCTTTTTCCATGTTACTTAGGACACTGCTACAGCAGACACAGCAAAAGAAGATGATGTAAAACAGTTAAATGTCAGGTCTTTAAATAGAACCTGCTGGCTCACATATAAGTGAATTCAAAACCAGCAGTATCGGTCTTTATTAGTGGTAGAGGAAAAAAAGCATATCGAGCTATGACAGCCGAGTTGGGAAATGGTTACATATAGCAGAATTCTGAAAAATTTCAAATGCATTCTTGTTTTCTATTCATCTACAAATATAATGCATGATTTTGTTGGTTTGATCCTTCCATAACTCTTCCACAGAGAAGGTGAATTCTTTGGGTGGTTATCTGCAATCTGGTTGGAAAGTTTAACCTTTTGGAGTAACTTAACGTCCCTTCATCATAACATGAATTTAAGAGCTTCAGTTGCGACAAATTTGGGGCATAGGAAACTGTTTATTTCTAGCAGGGTGGAAAGCGTCTGTTGGTTTATCTGTTTCATAAAATTTATATTTTCTCATTAAATGATATTTATAGAAGCCATATTTTAATATTCTTAAAATACAACATTACGTCCAACCATTTCTGCCTTAAAGATACTGATTAAAATCTTAAACATATGAAAATGTTAAGATATTAACTTGCAGCCTTAGAAGTATCTTAATTATTTGTTTGTGCCATATTTCCATTTTAACTTGTTTATCTAACTGGCATTAGTTTTGGACACTACTTGGTCTGCCTATTAGATTGTTCAGATTATTTTAAATATCTTATAAACTGTGTGAGAATACAACTGATCAGATTTAATGAATGTCTGCTGTGCTTCATGCATTTTATCATAGATTCTGAGCAGCAGTATTTAAGGTTATTCAGCTGGAAAATCTACTTCATTTATAGAGTTTAAACAATTATAGCAAGAACTTAAGATACTTTTAACTACTAAAACTTGAAGATTAAACTTGAAGCTTGTTTATCAAAGTCTAAGAAAGAATCAATGGATTATGGATTCTAAAGTATTGGCTTTGAAGATGAATTTATGGCAAAGTTTGGTATATTGGAGTTATGGTCCTACGTGGCTAAATGCCTCCTAAATCTGCTTATGTTGTGAAGAGTATCAAACACATTAAGGATCACTAGATATTTTGAGGTGCAATAGTTTTGTGTTGAATGTATATGAATGAAATTGTGTCCGAGGTCTTGGCTGACTGTTCTGCTTTGTTTACCTTTAATTAATTCCCACTCTAAAATATTTGTCAGTTATATTAAAACTGAAACATCAAGAAATCCAGCTTTATTTTGAGTACATCAGCTGTTTGTAGTTCCAAGGGCACTGAGGTGGCTGAAGAAGGATACTTAAAAATAAGATGGGTAGGTGGTCACCTAAAAAAAAGTGAGGAAGGTAGAGAAAATGTGGTGGCCTGGTACTAATTTCAGAACAGTCTTTACCTCAAACATGAATGTTATTAAGGAAAACACTAATTATAAGAAACATTTTGGGGCCTCAAGGTAGTTTTTAAACAAACTTGAGTAATTCTAACCTATTTTTCCACATACAACTCTTGTGTCTCAGAAGATTAGACTGTAGAGCTGTTGCGAGACTTCATATTTGAATAGATTCTGAACTGCTGTGAATGAATAAACATGGGTTACACAAATGCAGCTTTCTATCCTTTCCAAAGTACTCTGTAAGTCACAAAGCCCTGTACAATTTATTTTGTAACAGGAGTGATATTTTGTGCCCCAAGATTAGGTCAGATCTTGGCTTATTAAGTAGAAAGAGACCAAAACTGAGAGGCACTAGATGGGAGGCTGTGTGTGTGTAACATGTATTATAGGAAGTCGTGTCATTGACTCAGCCTTGCTCCTCTGATTAATAAATCCACCTTATTTCCAAGGATATTGAGAGTTCTTTTATAGAGGTCCTTTCTGGGTGAAGCAGGGAGTTTTATTAACTATGAGCTATTCCATGCATTTTATGCAACGGTGAGGCAGATCCTTTAATCTAGGCAACTTCAACAAAAGCCCTAAAGCATTATTTGATATTCACCTTCTACTCTAAACTGTTGTGTTGAGCAAGCCAAAAATTGTTATATTTTACACTATTGTGTCTGTTTTTCATTCTACATGAAGTGCTTTCTATGCAGTGTATTGCTTGTAAATCAAGCTCTAATGAGCTTTTCGATCTCCTGGGATGATAAGTGTCATATAAATGTCATGATCATATTCATAGAGGGTTTTCATAGTTCTGCAGGACTACTGTAGCCATTTCAGTAAGCAAAATGGTTTCTAATTTATTAATACTATGGTGGCAGATGCAGTGGTTCAACACTGTAAAGTAGTAGTTTGTGAAAATGAGATTGTCTTTAAAAAAAACCCAGCAGTTTGAATGAGAAAGCTCTTGGCTAATCCATCTGGAAAAGAGTTAAGTATTTGTATAATTATTGCTACTGAATAAGAATATAATCACTAATTCTATGGTAGAAGAAAGACTGTATGTCTTGAAATAACAATAGTAAAAGTAGTCTGGAATGCTTTTTGTTAGGAAATACATATTCCTATTTTATAATTTGTAATTGCAATGCAGGACTAAATCCTACTTTAATTCTTAATATGAAGAAACAGTGTTTGCCTCTTAGGTCAATTTTTTTTTTTCTCCCTCCCTCCATGTAGGAATTCTGGAAAGCAACAGACTGAAAATTGTAAAGGTTAAAACAATTAATCAGACAATTGGAAATGTTACATATCATGCTGCAGATTTGCCAATATGGTGGCAGATTCCTCAATATGTGCTGATTGGATTCAGTGAAATATTTGCAAGTATAGCAGGTAAGAGTCTGTGTGTGTTTTGAATCTGCTTTCATATCTATCATAAATGGCGGATTTTTAGAAAATAAATGTTTAGTTCTCAAATCATTATAAATGAGCTCTAATGTTCCCAAATACAATACTATACAATATAACTTAAGTGGCAAAGCACGCAATTGTCTTTCACATTTGAAAACTGGCTATATAGGAATATGTTTTCAAGACTGAATTTCAAGCAGAGCAACATTTAAATATTTGCATGTCATCCCGTTAGCACTGGGTATTTGCAAGCCCTAATAGAAAACAGAATAATCTTTCAATACTGTATTTTAAAGAATAGTTTTAATGCACTATTGTTTCCTCTGAATCTTCCTGTTTTGCAAATAAAATCTGTGCTTTGTAATTTTTTTGGCTTAAAATCTGAGCGCACAGTTTAGAAAGCCAATTAGTAAGTGGAAACACCTCTCTAATGGAAAAAGGAAGAAATAAACCATCTTTAGAAAGATTTATCACCAGTTTAAATTCATGTTACTTGAGTTTTTACATCTCTCAAATAAGAAAAGTTATGTGACAATCTAAACTAGTTATTTTGTGAATGTTAATAATAAAGGAGCTAATTTTTAATACCGTTTTATCTGCCTTATTTATGTATCAGTTTTTCTACAGTTGTTTTAGTACTTCAGTGTGATACTAGGCAAACAAACACTGTTCAAATCTTGTCTTTCTTGAAGAGATCGTAAATTTCTTAATACTGTTCTGTGTGATGTAGTAGACAGCTGTGTGATCATATTGATTTTTTTAAGCTGAAAGTGAAGTGGGAGGAGAGGGTGAATAAGACTATAAAACCTTATTTTCTGGTCTGTTTCATATACATGCAGGACTCATTAGCAAGAAGAAAGCACAGGCAATTTATCTGTTGTCACTGTGGTATACCTAACACTGGTTTACTACGATTAAATAAGTGAAATGCTGTTGTGAATCTCTTAGCACAGTGTTTACATATCTAATGCTTGGGAGCAATGCTTAGTTACCAATAACAGAAACCTTTCATGATCATAGAAGTAGCTATTCTGATACTACTTAACTAGAATTGCAGAGCTACCTGATGTAATATATTGGAACTCCTCCTCCAGTGACTTGATTTAAAAAGCATTAAGTATTTGCTTAACTATAGTTACTTATTAATGTGTTGAAATACTGTTTCAGAATATTGAACTTTGAAGATCATCCATTCAAACCAACATTACATAGAGCTTTTTTTCTTCGATTCCTTGTAACAGAATTTCCTGGTTTCGTTTCCCCTGCCCGAGGTTACTTTCATTCCTCATGCTGGGCAAGCACAGTGGGTTAAAATGAGATTCTCTTAATTCTGTAAGATCTTGCTGGGGTAGCCCCAGCTGTCACATGGCCCATTTGTTCCCCTCTTAGAGGAACAGAGAACTTCTACTCCTTCGGGTTTCTGGTTATGTGTGTTCTACTGTCGTCACAGTTGTTAGGAGATAAAACAAGGTGGTTGGATTGCTTGTTAAGTAGAAGAAAGTGTGAGGTTTGGTTTTTTGTTTTGTTTTTTTTTTTTCTATCCATTTGTGTTCACACATAAATAAATAAGTAAATTTCTTCCCTCTTTCTTGCACATTCTTGTTCTCTGTAAGTCACTGATACTAGTTTATATGTGTTTACAAGGAAAAAAAATAACAAACCTCTCAGCAGCTTGTGGAAAGGTCAAGGACTTGAAGCATTCTCTGTTTGTTGAACTCCAAACTGAGGGTTGTTTTTTCTCGACTGCTTTAGTGGACTTCGTGAGAAGTGAAGTCTTAAAGGCTTACGCTATTCTTATGTGAATACTCTGCTGTTCTGCACTTGCTAGGTCTGTACCAACAGTTTTATACCTTCAAGAACTGTTGGTCAGTGTTAGGAAAAATGCAAATGCTTCTCTTTGAACCAGAAAGTCTATGCAGATCTTAACTGCTTTCTGTATTACACTTTCATTTGATTTGTTTTACAAAGCTTTTTTTCCTGCCTTCTCATTGTTATCTAAACTGAGTTCTGAGTATCTTTAAGAAGGCCTCTCAAGACTTAAGAGGGTATACTTTACTAAGTTGATATTACAAGTTGATAAAAGCATCTGTTGTGCTATAAAATTCAGCTTTAAAATAAAAAAGTGTTAACGGTTACAAATCTATAGTGATTTGTAAATGTTTATTGGGAACAAAAAGGGACTAAATATTATAAGAGCAGAAACATAAATTTGTTTTTTTGTTTACTGTAAAACTAAGCATATTCTTATTAAGCCACATTAGTTACACTTGAGGTATCTTTAAAAAGATGACACACATTGCATTAATCTTTTGTATTATTCTGTCAATCCTCTTAAAGCACCCTTATTTAACTGGGAATCGTAATCTCACATGACAACACCAACTAGAGGGTTTAATTTCAAAACTGCTTGTTTGAGTTAGCATGAAATTGTTATCAATGCTGCCAGCAGGCAAAAATACCTCTGAAGGCAAAGAAAAGATTTTATATTCTTTATGCCAGGTTAAGTATTAGGGTTGCTGGAAATGTTATTCATGTTTAGAAATGTGCCTTATTTTGTTTCAAAAAGTACATAGTGTTTCACCCATTTTGGTTTTTGTTTTGAGTCTTAAGATCTTTTTCCAGCAGTAACACTTGCGTCCAGGATATCTGAAAAATGAACAAGAGAAGAAATGGGCCAGATCCTTTCATGTGATACACTTGAGCTTAGCTTGTACAGAATGTACAAAAGCCTGGTGGCCGAAATGTGACTGATAGTCCAGAGGCTTGTGGCAGCTATGATAACAAGAGGTTAAAAATGAGCTATTGTACCCCAAGACTAGTCTACTTTTTTTTTTTTTCTTTAAGTGAGACTAGCAAGATAAATACTCCTTGAAAAATCTGAACTCTTATATTAGTGGCAAAGCCTAGGGAAAAAAAAATAAATCTGAATTTTTAATTCTCATAATAAATATAATTTCACCCTCACTCCTCCTTCCCCATTTGCAGATGTCTCTCCATCTCTGTAGTGATTCTCTCGTTACGGTTTGAATTTACAGGAACTCACACAGCTAAGTTGCACGAAGAATGTTTCAGTTCCCTTCTAGAATCGCAGACAGGTTGCTGTTGGCCCATTCTAACGTGTTTTGCAAAGGAAAAGAGAAGCGGTGTGTTGGTTATCAGAGATTTCTCAGGTGGCAGTGCTGTTAGAGCAGTGAGAACATACAGTTGTTTCTTTTACAAGAACAAAGTTCCTCCCTCAGAACAGGCAAATTGACCTACCTGGCTTGAAGTGTTAAGCCCTTAATTGAAAAGAAATGCCTGTGTATTTCTATTAAACTCTGTCTGGAGAAGCCAAAGTCAAATACCAATAATAGTGCCATTTTCAGGTCCATAATTCTCTCTTTGTCAAGAAAAATGTTAGATGAGGTAGCATTAATTTTCAGTATGAAGCAGACTGTTTTGAAACAAGCATTTCACCTGTCAGAGAAACAGCTCTGCAAAGAATGTATTTGACTGTGTCTTGTGAATAATCCCATTTGATTTTTGACAGGAGTATTATTCTAAAAAAGAGAGTTAATCATAGGCATTAGTCTTTGCAAGGCAGAGCCTAACCCAGTGTGTTCTGTTGGTACTAAAACTCAGTAGCACAGATTTTCAAATTGATGTCACTGATATGTTTTTCTTGGTTTTATTGCTTGAATTTTCAGTAAGGATAGTTTAAAGTTGAAGACCCATTTGTACAAGCCTTAAAAAGAACAGGCCAAGAAGCAATGAACTTGGAGAATTCTAGATCACAATTAAATTAAAACTAATTACTGCATTTCCAGCTACAGTTAATTTCTGTGTCCTCACGTTCAGTGATACAGACACTGTGTGAAATAAATGTTTGTGGTCAATGCAAGAGTGACCTTCAGTTCCTGAGTACTTTGTTCTTAGCAGGGAATGCCGTGTGCTTTGTCAATACTGCACAACAGGTAAGCAAAATAGGAACAAGTGACGTGGGCAACATGGGACTTGCCAGGTTAGAGTTAAGTTTAATAAATTTCTTTGAGGATAATTTTAGACAGAAAAATGAATATGCTGCCTCAGAAGATGTCTTGATTTTACACATGTAATATTAATAAGATCAAAGTGCATGTCTCAAATGTTGTCCATTTAATGGGCTGATATACTGATGACCTTTAACAGGGTACATAAAACAATTAGAGGGAACTGGGAACTGATAGTGATTCACTACCTCAATTCCCTTTCTCCTGAAATCTAAGGCTAGTTTTAGGTCTTTAACATGCCAGAAGTAGTATACATCTGTAACTTCTATAACACTACACTAAAATGAACTACTATTGTTTCTTAGCTCTTCCAATAGCTTTTTTTTTTTTAATCTTTTAATACAGGTCTAGAATTTGCATATTCAGCTGCTCCCAAATCTATGCAGAGTGCTATTATGGGGCTGTTTTTTTTCTTTTCGGGGATTGGATCATTTGTTGGCTCTGGATTGTTGGCACTGGTGTCTATTAAAGAAATTGGCTGGATGAGTAATCACACGGATTTTGGTAAGTTATTTTTAAGTGTATTTATAGTCTATAAAGTAGAAGGCTTCCTTCAGAAGCAGTTAAGCATGAAGCACATGGAACTGTTGAGTCTCAGCACAGTTGTTATTTAAAAAAATAAATTTGTTTTGTTTTGTTAAAGACAAAGTTTAATCTTGCATATGAGTATGAAGTAATGTGACTACGCAGAATGATACATTGCCCTCGTGAAAGCATGAGAAACACGCATGGAGTATTTTGCCTGTGTGAGGCCTGACAATTACCTGCTCAGCTATTACTGCATTTCATCATTAGAAATTACTTATAATTTTTTATTTTAGTAAAAAATATTTAAATTATGTGTGGAAGAAGAATATATTTGATATAAAGTACTGAAATTCCTTTCTGCAGTTATGGGGAGTAAAATGTACCCATCTCTCTCTCTTAGTGATTATTCAGCACCTTAGTTTCAAGAGACTTCATAAAAATTACCATGAGTTAATTTTGCATTTCTATCTGCTAGCTATTTATACTCTTTAAAAAGTCCAATGTATCGTCTACTTTTTATTGCCAGTTGAAGTTAAAAATAATTATTGGCACCAGTAGGTGGCACCTTGGGAATTTCAGAAAATCATATCATCAATGGGCTAATTAGTTCCAACAGAAGGAGCATGAAAAGTTCTCAAAACGTATGCTAGACCTACTGCCTATACATGGCTTAAAAGTGCAGCCTGAACTTACTTTAAATTTGGTATAAGGAAATTTGCCATTTAAGCTTGATTTGCACACTACCAAAAAGTAATGTCTGGAACTGTACATATGCCACAAGTTCTTATCTTTGGTTTATAAGTTATACTTTAAAAAACTGCAAAAGATGAAAGTAGTCTTAACTTTATGGAAGTGTCCTCACCAAGTGAAAATGTAATCACACTGAGACTTTTTTCCCCCAGTCAATTTCAAAGTGAGGAGGGCATCTTTTTCTGCAATTCTATATAGAGATAATTCAGTTGATAAGGGCTCAATAGGAGGATAATAGCTTCATACGAATTAGTAGATGTGCTATTTGATGCTGCTTTTTTAGCCTCTCTCCTTTGTTTTCTGAAGCAGCCTAGGAGAAGACAGTGCCTAATAGTCTCTCTCTAAAATATTTAGGTTGTGCTAAATATATCCAGAGTTGGCTAGAACTGGAAGATGTTACCTTTCATGACTCATTGGTCATCTGTTTTGAATAAGCTCCTCAGCTCAGTGGATTGTCCTTTGGACAGCTGTCAGAACTGGATATTTCTACTTTTCTTAGTAGTGTAGGAACTGTAAGGAGGATTCTTTATGAATGAATGACTTCTGAATTTTTTATTAGATGCTGTATAATAACTATAAGCACATGTACCAAGTTTCTGCTATTTATACAAACTCATTATATCATTTGAGGTAACTGACTGCCTCAAAGCTACTGAGCAAGTTCACTCTGCTGGCGCTTCAGTGTTGATTACTGCCATTGAAATGACTGTTATTTCTCTGACGAAAACTGAGATTTCATGAGTTTAATATCCCATCTCATAAAGGATAATTAGCACTCTTTAAACACGTCTGCTCTTGAAATGAAGATTCACGTGTATATTGTATTTTAAATGTCAAGGAAAGACTCTGTCTAATTTTATTGCATTTTATTATAAGTTCATTTAATTGAATCTTAAGTTTCAGTAATTAAAGTAATTTAAGCTGAACATTCATACGCACGCTGCATGAACAGCTTGTTAGCATCGATGTATACTTCCCTATTTTTACTCTCTCTAACCTTTTTGGTAATCAGAATGGTCCAATTGGCTGTGGCTCACGCGGCATATTGGAAATGAGCCACAATATATTGTTCTTGGAAGTACAGCAATAGTTAGTGCACATTCCTTAATGGAGGAATAATGTCTTAGCAATGAGCTTTCTTAATTTAACATTATTAAATGCGGTACCAATCACTAATTTATTACAACTTTGAGGGGGTGTCAAAGGTGAATTGAACCAAAAAGAAACTACGTATGGTTTCATGAATTCTAAACTTTGTTCCAAAAGAAGGCTGAGAGAAAATCTCAATAATTGCTTTCTTTATATCTACAGAGTTGCCAGACTTTTTCCTTAATAGCATTCATTTTTTTTATTCTTTTTATTTTATCTTTGAGTTAGCACAGAAGGGAGGTACAGGCCTCCAGATGCAGAGAGACCATATAGCATTAAGCAGGGCTGAAACAGCTGCTGGAGAGGACTCTAGTATATACAGTACAAGAAAATCATACTTTTACCTGTTTCAGTTAAGCTGTAAAACATGAGAGTTTCTTTTTTTTTTTTTTTTTTCCCATGACTAAAGCCTTATCACTTCACTGTATTCTCCAGGCTCCTTAAAAGCATACCTAGTGAAGATGTAAAGGCCTAGTAAAGGCTTTAAGTTCCTAGCCTGTATGAGTGTAGCTTTGCTTCAGTCCTGAATGCTGCATTTCACTGGGAGCTGTTTCTGAACAGTTCACAGTCTAGGGCTTTATTTGCAGAAATTTCTTTTTCAAGTCCATTTAGTGGCCACAGCACAGGGATGTTTTCTTTTATTGCTTTTGAAATGAGTTGTCTCCTCAAAAATTGATAAGTCATCTCTGTTATTTACATTATGAAGAAAGTAAATCATATATGAAAATATACATTGAAGTTTTTATCTGTTTTATCTGAAGTCAGCAAATCATTGCAATTTTGCAGTATAAGAAACCAGGCTTAAAAAAAAAGCAGGAGGGGTATTGAGAATGAAAGGAAGATTATTAGCCTTTTAAAATTGTTTTGACTCTCATGAAGCATGCCCACTGCTAGATGTGTGTAATCTTTGTTTGCACAAAGTTCTTGCAGTGGTAGGAACATCCAGCAATTTTTGTAAGTAAAAAATCATGCAGCAATATCTGCTGCATATCTGCTTCTTCAGGGACAATACTTGGTTTAAGGCACGGAAGCACAAAAAGAAAACAATCCTTGTACTGTGTGCATCTTCCTCAGAAGTTCCATCTTTTGGTCTGAATAATTAAAAATGAAACTATGGGGTCAGATGGAAATGTGATTTGTGTTGGTTTTGCCCATGTTTTGCAGAAAAGTCTTCACTACTTAACCGTGAAGGGATTGACATTTTTATTTGTATAATCTTTATTAATGTTTATTTTTTCTCCCCAATTCTTTCTAGGTAATATTAACGGCTGCCAATTAAACTATTATTTTTTTTTGCTGGCTGCTATCCAAGGAGCAACTCTTTTGCTTTTCCTTATTGTTTCTGTGAAATATGATCATCAAAAGTCAAAGGTTAATGAAGTGGCTGCCAATGGGAGGATCTGACATCTGTTACAGAGCAGACTTGATTACAGCAGCACACAGTGTAAGTGGCAGTGCACCCTGAGTCTGCGAGATCTTATGATTTCTCCAGTGAGACTCTTCTAGACTTGCATGTTACAAGAGTTCTTGCCCCTGCCCCCTCTCCTGTAACGTAGGTAAGTGCCTTATGTTGGCAGGGCTCATTTCTTGCACTACGTCCTGGAAGAGGACAAACACAAATCTTGGAAGCGTATTAACTCTAGGCATTCAAGTTGCTCTTTGTTAACTGTGAGATGTTTACTTAACTTTTGAAAGTTGTGACACTTACACTTGGAAACTGAGTATAATGAGTCACATGTGACACAGATTATTCCTGACTGAAAAACTCCGCTTAGTGAAGAACAGTGGATCTAGAGAAACACTCAATAGTCTCAAGCCTACATTGAAGACACAGGAAAGAAAACATTTTACAGAAACCTCAAGTAGTGGTTACAAGAGTAAATTTTCAATCCTGAGAGTCACTTTTGAGGGAGAAACAGAGACAAATTAAATTGAAGATTAGTTCAGTTTAAAAAGAAATGAAGTTTTATAATTGACCTTTTACTAGCAGTGTCTCAAGGATTCAAGTCCAAACTTGCAGTTAGGAGTATCTGATACTGAAGGCTGAATTATATGTCACAGTAGCTTGTCCTTTAGCTGCTATAAGTTTTGGTGCGCAACGAACACTTGTTGGGACTGAAATGGTTTTACTTCAGAAATGTTTTTATTTTTGAATCTGCATTAGATGTATTGGGGAAATATGGAAACATACATCTTTTGACAAAGCACTGTTCAGTCTGACGCTGTTGCTTCCCTGAGGAATATTCTAAAGACGTGCAGAAAGAAAACTGAGATTGAATTCACAGAAGATGAACGCGCAATAACAATTTAGAATCCTTTCAGCCAGTTCCTACAGTCTTGTGTCTTACTTCTAGCTAACATGCTACAGGGTTGTATCTTTCAGCAACACATTCCTATAGCAGAGCAAATGGTTTTATGTTCAGCCTCTAGAATTTTAATGATTCTAACAACTGTACTTAAGATTGTGTGCAGACTGGTATGGAAGATGCAAGGAATTATGCAGAAAGAAAATAAAAACTCAACTTTTTATTAATGTGTTGAATTTTTATAGTTTCCTTTGTCTGCATTTATGTTATAATGTCCTTCTTTTGTACATGGACATCTTTTTAATGAGTTTACAAAATAAAATGAACTTCCATGCTGTGACCTTTGACTCTGTTTCTAGGTGAATAAAATTATACTACAAATGTTTTGTTCTTTAGCCAGTGGACTCCTATTAGATTTTTAAATATACAATGGCATCTTATTAGTTTTGTCAGATAATATAGCAGTATGCAAGCTGTCCTGTCTTTGCCAAGATAAATCAGTGGAGATGCTTCGGCTATTGCATTACTTAGCATGACTTAGAACTGGAATAACTAAAGAAAATAAGTAAGCAACATCACATATGAGGAAAAGCTAGTTTCCCTTTCTAACTTTGTTTTAAAAGTTTCTGGAATATTCCATTTGCAACCAGCTAAAAAGACCTAATATTAAGATGGTATAAGCTTCATAAGGAACATACAGGGACTAAATAACTTCTTTCTTGAATGTATGCTGTTTTAGTCCTGCACTTCTGATATGGGTATGAATCTCTAGTTTTTCATGTTTATATTTAATTAATTTCTAAGGCATATATAATCACAGGAGAGGAGTGGGTTGTGCCCACTAATATTCTACTAGATTTCTGAACTTAATTACTTTCACTATACTCCCCCCCAGATCTAAAATTTTTCAACAGCATTCATAAATATCACATCTGATGTGAGTCTGTTGATTATAGTTGAAACTGAGTTTAATGAAGAAGAAACTAGGTGTTTAACAGTAACTATAGGCAAGCTTTAGTGAAACTATTATTTAAGGAAGAATATGCTCAGTAAATACTAGCTTAGCCTACTCACTATTTAACAAATGCCTTTTACTGTGTTCTAAGCATACAGTAAATGTCTACATACTTCTGTAGGGCTGTAGTGGTTCTAACACTCTTGAGATGAGACTGAACATGCAATCAGTTGTATAAGTTAATTTTTATTTGGAATGACTTGGCTGAGCTCCAGGCACAAGTAATTACGACCATTTATGAAGATTAATCTGACACTTCTCATCAAAGGATAAGGCCTTTTTGTGACTCAAACGCTTAGCCGATTCTTCCTCCCTGTCTTATTTTTTCATGTTTCCACTCCAGTCACAGAAATAAGACTAATCCATTAACTTTGTGATGGAGAACTGCACCTCATTAATGAAATACCTTGAAGTGTACAGTTTGAATTTAGTTACATTCACTTCTTAGATTGTTCCGGTGCAATAGAAAGATCTGACAGAAGTCACCCCAATGGATGTTTCTAAGCCTCTGACTTTCCAGGTGTCTTAAATTCAAAGCACAACGTTGAAAAGTAAGGGCTTGTTCAACATGAGAGCAGGTATCTGATTAAAATCCTTCTACTCATAAAGAATTATGAAATAATTAAGCATGTACCTTCTAATCTCTATGCAAGTTATAATCTAATCACGTATGGAGAATATCTGCCTGGGACCCTGTGTTTCCTTTGAGATTATAAAGTGGATACATTGCTCATATAACTGTGGATCTGTCAAGTACAAGACAGCCTGCTTTCTCATGCCTTTGTGTCTACAGTCTGAATATCCCTGCTCAGAAAAGGAGAGTCTTTTTTTTTTTCATTTATTCTGTGTATATAAACCTCCAGAGTGAGTTTAATTACAGTAGTTGAGGCATCCATCAGTTATTTCCCTTAAGTCTGTAGTCAACTCTGAATTGTTTTTGTTTTGTTTGGGTCTTTTGGGGGTTTTTTTAACAAAAGTTGCTCAGGGCTGACACTTGTCAGACAAGGTTTTAGCTTAACAATAAACTGTATTAAAAGATGCACGCTGTTCTTAACATTTTTGTGTATGTGTTTGAAATTGCTTTTTGAAAAATGTTATCCTAGTGATTTTGTTTATATGCAGGGCAAGTTATGTTAGTGCAGACAAGCCCTCTGGGGAAACAGAGTACAGTGCTTTCCACTGAGCAGTCAGTAGTGTGAGATGCAAATTCATCTCTGAGGAAGCAGAGGATTTGTAGACCAACACTCAATGCTACTGGTAGAATAATGCACATAACAGAGAGCATGGTACCTGCTGGCCCCAGAGCAAGGATGTAACTGCAGTGAAAGTCTAGAGAAAGAGAACCAAGGTCAGAAGCTATAAGTATGTAAATAGATGCTTTGCTCGAGGTAGCACTGAGTTCAGAATAGCAACAAACAGTGCTGTCAGTAAAGATTGCCTAGTGACAGTTAATATAATCTGGCTGTCGGCTGTTTTTTCATGTCATGTACACAATACGGTTTAATAGTCCTTTCCATCTTGGAATTATTTTTTCCATTACAGCATTCACAGCATAGATTTTGTTCTCTAAATCAGTGGGAAGAACAGTTGTCAAAACCTACATACCTAGTAATTGGATCCACTTACAGTGGTTTTCAAATGATCTTCACGACGTGACTAGTAGTCTCTAACCTATAGTCTGTTGGACTTAAAAGATCATAGTGAAGGATGAAAAACATTAAACTTTTACAAGCACAGAATTGGGAATCAATTACAATCCATCCTACTACCTTCATTCTGTCAGTGGCTGTAGTAATGCTTGAAGAGGTAAAATAACTTAGTGTAGTGAGGAATGATCAGAACAGAAAGAATGAGGAAGTTTAAGTGGCTACTTAATACCCCGAAGGCTGAAAGCTTACTTTTCTTTCCATTCTTTGATTAATTCCATACTCCATTATCTGTATTTTTTATGATTTTTCTGAAACATGTTTCCTTTATCAGGACATTCTCCTACAGTGATTAAGTTCAAGATATGTACATAACATTAATGGATATCCTTTAGTGGAAGGAATGTCTGTGCTTAGCTGAGCTGTGCCTGCATGTTCTGTAGACAGCCCTGAGCTAGACACCGACAGGAAGAACTACAGCACAGGTTGGTGTGGGTGATCCTTGGCTGATCACATCATCAGCGTCCAACAGCAGACAAGTCTTAAATGTAGCCTACGCAAAATGCAGGCGCATAGAGACTGCAATGTAGACATAATCCAATGCTGTGTTCCTCCTTCAGTGCATAGCTACCGTACAGGATTTTACTGATAAGGCTTCTCATCCCTCTTACCAGGAAGTGTTAGTCAGTAATGAGATTTAGTGATACAACAGAGTCCATAAATCACTTTTGACAGGGAATAGAACACTTTAATGAACAAGGGAAAACAAGGTAAATATTGCTTAGGCTTTTGAAGATGGAACTTCAAACAGATAACATGCTTTCTGAAAGCTGGGAAATGTACTTGACTATCTGCACATCTAATGCTGTACAGCACAATCTCTTCCTATCTATCCCATCACCTTTTCAAAAGTAGGTTTTTTTCTTGGCTCTGAACTGTCAGGAGACCCTAAGGCCTTGAATTGTTCTGTCTGCTGTAGCTATGGAAACTGGTTAATACCGTGTATTGACACAAAATGCCTATAGCATATTTAAGTAATAATAACTATTAACTTGAACATAAATGACAAATGGCTTTACTGTCAGGCAAGATGCTATAAAGCACTAGTCTGCGAACTAAACATCTGTGAGGAGCAGTGTTCTGCTCAGAGTTAGGACGAAGGGACTTGAGGGAGAAGATGCTAAGGGCTGGTGTATAGCTCCAGGTTTCAGACAGATTGCTAGGCAGACACTACGAGAATTTAAATATGGGGAAGGGTTCCCATTAACTAATTTCACATTTTAGAACTTTGTCAAAGTGATAGAGAGTTAAAGCACGACTTCCTGAAGTTGTCTGGCAAATTAATATCCTGGTGTCCCAAAGTTTCCTAGGTTTTTAATGCAGAATTTTGTATTGTATTGTATATGTCACTGATGAAAGGGATTCAATTATCTGTTACTTTACAAAAATCAGTGGTGGTGTTAATTTTTGTTGTTTCTCCTGCTTCTGTTCCACCAGCTGGCACAGAAGACCTTAGAAACAGTGCAGTGTTATGGCAGATGGTTTATGACTAGAGGTGACAGTCTGGGTTTGAGACTAGAGTTCCTGGGGTAAGAAAGGGAATGTGCCCTTCCCTTCTCTTCCAAGGAACAAGAAATGGACAAGTGATCCTTTGTGGGGGCTCTGTTTGTAGGTTGAGGTGGAACAAGACCTGAGGGATGGGACAATTCAGGGTCACTGCAAACAAATGCTTTCAGCTTCTATGGCATCTTGGGCA